GATTTTCGTACCAATAATAGAAATAGTCATACAGACATAATTTTACATAGACCCACACATAAACAAATAAGGATTTTACAGTAGGCTATGGATAATAGCCTAATTATAATGAAATCAATTTCACAAGAAGTAGAGTAATTAATTTGCCCGTGGTTGCATTTTAGTGTCTTTGTTTCCATGATGAGTCTAGAGAACATGCAACTAAAAGCAACATGCCATGACCTATGGCCGTGACAGACAAATTTAAAGGTATAGGCCTATGGTTTTTTTTTTTTTTTTGTTGTTTTTTTTTTTTTTTTTTTGGAAAATAAATATATAATATTAATATACAGAGCTTGGTAGACAGGTAACCTATTTGTTAATGTTATTAAACAGATTAATATATTTAAATATTATAATTTGCATTATTAAATATTAATCATATATGCATACTAAATTGTGATCCTATCTGTTATACACACTTTATGGCAATTAAAAGAAAGTTTTAAAAGTGCTACATTATTTAAATAAAAAATTGACAAACAATTACATAACAATTTCAAAATCAAATTCAAAATCAATTTTAGTAAATAAAAACAATCCATGCATAATTGTCAAAAACATGATTAATGGTTCTGTAATCCCTAACATATACAGAAGAGTTTATATAAGTAAATAAGAGTAAAATAATAAAATGTAAAATAATAATATAAAATGTTTTCTGTTAAGCTCACATACTTCATTTTATTTTTTCTCGTGGTTTATTGTTGAGCTGTCAAGTTGGCATGTTGAAATAATCAGTTCCATACACTTGACACATTTTTTTTTTAATTTAATTTAATTATTTATTTATCTTGTGTATGGGTGTCCCTTATTTTGCCTCAGTGAAGGTGGCAACCCTACTTGTAGGGGATTTTGCGAGCAGGAGCCTACAGCTTCAGCAATACTTAAGAAAAAGGATAATGGATCCTTGTTGGATATTTATAAAAAGTAGTTTGTTTGTACATGTGTTTGTGCCATGTATTTGTTTAGTTTAGTTTTGTTCAGATTTAAATATTCCATGATATGGCTGAGTTCATAGCTTTATACAGGTGAAACTCAAAAAAAATTGAATATCGTGCAAAAGTTCATTTATTTCAGTAATTCAATGTAAAATATGAAGGTAATATATTATATAGACTCATTACATGTGAAGTGAGATATTTGAAGCCTTTATTTGTTATAATTTTGATGATTATGGCTTACAGCTTATGATATAGCTGTAAGCCATAATCTTCAAAATTATAACAAATAAAGGAATTTCTTTGTGGAAATTCTTTTATCAACTCTATCAACATCTTAAACAACAGTTGAAGAACAAATGAAGATCTCAAAGTTATAAGTGTTAGTATTTATTTCTTGCAAGAAAGGCAGTTCACACACAGACAGAGTCTGATATGAGAAGGGCAAATGTCTTCTCATTTTACAGAGTTTATATACCCAAAAGATCAACCTCCTAGATGTACCTCCTCGTCTTATCTTTGGACTAAGGCCCCTGAGTTCTATGCATCTCCACAGTCAGCACATATGTTACTTAAGAAACAACACCTAACCAAACATGTCTTGCTCTTGATGCACTCAAAGTTATCTATTGCTAAGAAAGACAGACCATTCTGTTTTTTTGTACTGTCCTATTGACCTCTTTGCAAAGCGGACACTATTGAACTATTTACAAAGGAGATGATGATGCATCTTGCAACTTCACAAACCACTCAAGCAGATATATGTTTCAAGATATACAAAGAAAAATACATTTTCTATTACACATTTCAGTGAGGGCATGCCATTCTTTAATTTCTGATGACGAATTAGACCAGAAAGTCAGAGCCATTAAGGCAAGGATGCCACATGCGGGATACAGAATGGTCAAAGGAAATCTCCAAGCAATGGGCCTTCGTCTTCAATGGAAAAGAGTTTTTTTTTTTTGATTGAAACAACTTTTTTGGAGTTGGATTAAGACACAAATGTCCTACCCATGTATGGCCCAAACACAAAAAAAGATTACTTCACTCAAAGAGAACATTTTCAATCAAAAAAAGTGTTCAAATGCAATTTTTGGAGTCTCAAATATTTTATTTGCATTCAAAAACGATTTTCTATATTTGAAAATGTTTATCTTTTCATTGAAGTGACTTTTTTATTGATTCTGTTATTTGTTTGTTTGAAGCAACTTCTTTTTTGATTGAATGATAAAGACACAAATGTCCTACCCATTATAGAGTGCCGAAGTTACGACGTCACTCTGTAGGCCAAAACGCGGATGTGAGTTAGCATTTTAGCACTACGGTTCCCTTGCTCTAAAGCCTATGGGATTTTTGAATAAGTTTTTGCTAAATCGCCTGAAATAAGGTCTGTGGTGAACAAAGCCTCTAAATATTTTCACGTTTTCATCTATGACATAGTAACACACATTTATAACCTGCTTGTGGTTTTTTAAACTTTATTGTGTCTGATTGTGTTTTTAAAAATCTTTATATAGGCTTCAAAATGTATAAATTTTGGACTAACTTGTAAAGATTATCTTGCTAGACAAAACATGTAAGGGTCACAACTCTTTGTTGAACACAGATCTTATTTTTTGCGATTTTCCAAAAGTCTATGGGGAAAATGCATTGCTTTTCGACCGAGGGAACCCATGCGCCGCTAACTTCCGGGTTGTCCTACAAAGTGACGTCATCACTTCGGCACTCTATATGGTCTAATCAAAAAACAATGTTACTTTAATTAAAAAGGTTGCTTTAAACAAAAAACAAAACAAAACAGACTTCTATCAATGAAAACATTTTCAATCAAAGAAAAGCAGTGTTCAAATATATTTTTTTGAGTCTCAAATATATTTTTGGATTCAAATACTGAAAAGTTTGTTTGTTTTTTCATTGAAGTGAAGGATTTTTTAATTGAAAATATTGTTTTTTGATTGAAGCAACCTTTTTTATTGAATAATAAAGACACAAAACTACCTTCATATAGGTCTAAATTAATGCTTAACTAATATAGTTTACTCTGTATTTTGTTTTTTTTTGTTTTCATGGTATACTTTAGAATTATTTTGATTTTCAAATTAGAAAAAAGGCATTTCTTATTGCTTGTTATCATCTGATACTGTAGAACTCTTTGATTTATTATTTAAATTGGAAAAGGCATTTTCTTGTTGCTGTTTGGCATTTAACAATAAACAAAAATGTTTAAAATTGTGTGTCTCTCAGTCAGTTAAAAAGCAACAATATATGCTACAAATCAACAAAAGAGCTTTGGATGCAGTAAAATCAGGTTGAAAATTAAATAAATAAATAAATAAAAAATGGCAGTATTACCGCATATCAGTGATGCGCGGGTTGATCCGAAATGAGCAGTGAAAAATGTTTTTAATGCTATTCGGGTCGCGGTCGGTCGGGTCGTTTGAAAAAAAAAAGCCAATTAAACATTTGTATTAGTACTAGACACAATTTTTGATGAAATATACAGCCCTACACATTATTGGCTGAATAACTGGCACGAAGATAACAAACAAGCTCAGTCTAAAAAGTTCTCGGTTCTATACTACTGATTCGAGAACCGCTGTCCCTGTGCGTTCGGTAGAACGCAGTATCAGCTGCTCGTGCTCATCACTTCTCTCAACAGTGGCACCAACATGTCTCGGTTCAGTGAACTGTTGGAGTTACTGGAGTAAAATAGAATTCAGGATATTGATTTATTTCGATTCGGAGGCGACTGTCAGGCATGTCTGAAAGTAAGTAACTAACTTGTGGATCAGCACTGACGCAAGACGCGAACTGTTTCGAACGATTCAGTTCGATTTAGTGTAGGTTCGACCGGTTCACTAAAAAGAACTGGTTCAAAAGAACGATTCGTTCACGAACCGGCCATGTCTATGATCACTACAGTCTGCTGAGCCTGAGATGAAGGCGGCAAGAGAAAAGGTGAAGACTGGGGAGTGGAAGCTCCGCAAATACACAAATAGAAAGATTAAAAGTGTGGGAGACATTTGCTGAAATAATGAAATATGATGACCAAAGTGCTGGCTTTGCCTTTGTTATGTGTAGGCCTACGTCTTCTTGCGATGCTGTGTTGTTACACGTCTATGGCCCAATAACGCTCTGATGAGCATTTACTACTTTTAAAAAATGCGGTCAGGAAGCGGGTCGGGTACAATATTTTTTTACTTTTTTTTGCGGTCCGAGTTGCGGGCGGGTAGTTGAAAACGTCGGTCGGTTGCGGTTTGTTTATACATTGACCCGCGCATCACTGCCGCATATCATGCTATTGAGCCACCCATAATAATCACAAGGGAAATTTCTTAACCGCGACAGGCCTAAGAAGAGGCCACATTCAAATCACTTATACTCTCTATGAAATTCTTAATTGTTTAAAAAATACATCACTTCCTGAGAAGTATCCAATGACATTCATAGTGTTCCCAGCTGTAGTCAAATTATCTTTCCTTAGACACTAGAATGTCTATTTCCTCTCTTTTCCCTTCATGATGATGAAAAGGCATATATGATCAACTTGATGACTGAAGTGAATAAAATTATTGGTGAGTAGTTGTATTTGCCGAGTTCAATGAGTGACAGTGAATGAATTATTACATGTTTGGTTTTTTTATGCCACATGGGCTTTTTATACTCAGGGGAAATAAAAATGGTTCTCTCACTATGAATAATAGTGAGGACAGAATGAATAATGACAAGAGCAAAAAGAGGATGGGGTGTTACAACTAGAGTTGGAATTAGTTTGACTTTGGCTTCAAATATTAATACTGTTATAATAATGTTCCATGTGGAAGGTTTATCATGACTGCTGGGGAAATTTGATTTTGATAAACTAATTAAGGTAAAAAGAGTCCAACATGCATTTAGTGAGGACATAGTTGTTTAATAAAAAATAATTGTTTATTAAACATAATTGTTAATTAAGCACAAAACCACTTTATTGAGGGTCAGATAAAAATCAAGACCACATTTCATTATCATATAAAAAAAAAACTTCAATATTTACTTTCTGAATTGGATTTGGACATCAAATATCTCTTTGTATTTTTCTCAGGTTTAAGCAAAATAATGTAACATTTTGGAGTGAAGATACAGAGCAGCATGCCATAACTGGAGGCCAGAATTGCAAAAATCTCCACGGCCACGGTGTATTTCCCCGGGGAGCTGACATATGCTGGCACAAATGCAATCCACACAGCACAGAAGATCAGCATGCTGAAAGTAATAAATTTAGCCTCATTGAAATTATCTGGGAGTTTTCGAGCAAAGAAGGCTAACAGGAAGCAGACAGCTGCAAGCAGGCCGATGTAGCCCAACACCAGGGAGAAGGCCAATGGAGAGCCCACATCACACAAAAGAATAATCCGGGCAGTTTCATGAGTCATGAGCTTACGTGGGACGGGAGGTGCCAGACTCAGCCATGTGCAGCAAATCACCACTTGCACTGTTGTACACAAGAAGATAATGCTTCGCTGCTGTAGAGGGCCGAACCATTTCATTACATTAGTGCCAGGGAGAGTGGCTCTGAAAGCCATGAGTACCACCATAGTCTTCCCAAGGATGCAGGACAGACAGAGGGAGAATGCAATACCAAATACACTGTGTCGAAGCCCACAAGACCATGATGTGGGCTGGCCAATAAAGGCTAGTGCACACAAAAAACAAAGCCACAATGAGCTAAGAATGAGGAAACTGAGCTCGGAGTTGTTAGCTCTGACTAGTGGTGTGTGACGTTTAAGGGCAAATATCAGAGCAACTGCGAGTGTGAAACAGGATCCAAGCAGAGCCACAGCTAGCAAAGTGATGCCCATGGTATCATTGTAGGAAAGGAACTCCACCAGCTTCGGGATGCAGGTGTCTCGTCTAGCATTGGACCAGAATTCAGGCAGGCATTTTTCACATTCTAAGGCATCTGATAAATAAATATTTATTGTGCAAAGTAGTAAAATACATTTTCAACAAATCTAAATTAGTTTTGTTAAACACATAAACATCAGCAGGACAAGAGTTGATTTACTACATACCTGTCTGATTGCTAACCTCCCCAGCTGCACAGACAATGCAGTCAAAGCAGCAGAGAGGAAAGTTTGGTCTGGTTGACTTTCTAGTGCCTGGAGGACAGCTAGTGCTGCAGACTGATACAGGGACCTGCAATTCAGAAAAAAGACAAACTACAAAGATACATATCATAAATGTATGCAAAAAGTACTCAGCAAATACAAAATCTACACAAGCAGGAAACGAGTATGCAACATTGAATACTAAATCTTCCCAGTAAAAAAAAGAAGTGAAATAAATAAATCACAATGAAGCATTACTTGTCTCTGGTTTCCATTCCAGATTATGTTTTTTTCTTCAATCACTAGTTTAGGCTGCATTGTTTCATCAAATCTCCCCACAGTGGCGTACCGCACCTCTCCATTGCCAATGAGCTGCCAGTTGATGAGATCATACATGGCCACAGGATCTCCATTGCTGTCAAACTTGCTCTCCTCACCAAAATCATTAGTGAAGTGGATATGCTTTAAATAAGTCAGGAGCTTATTTAAACACAAAGAGTGAATAAAAGAAAGATAAAAGTAAACATGGAACAGTGGTAACGTTTGTTAAAACTTTATTATCTCAACTAGAGAACATTATCTTATTATCTTATCACAAGCTTAAGACAAACAGATATAAAAGTTGTGCGTTTTACCTGCCATGGCTGTATGCTGCTGGAGTTGGCGCACAATCCCCCAGCAAAAGGTCCGTTGCCTGGTTCACAGTGCAGCATTGAATCCAGAGCATGTGTAATGGCATACACTGCCTTATAAACATTATAAGAGATTCTCAGCTGAGATACATCTGAGTAGATGTTACCTGTATTGGCAAGTACTTCAGAGCCATTACAGGGGGGTCTAATAGAGGAGCTCTTATTGCCTGTACCTAGAGAGCACTTAAACATCTCCTGCCAAAACTGCGGAACAAATGGGTCCTGTGGGTATTTCGAGGGATGTAATCGTAACAGGAAAGGCTGCAGGCCAGGTATATCAGCCCTGCGGATGGCAAAGCCCATGGAGCCCTGCAGGATGGAGTGAAATTCAGGAGTGGAGAGGACTGCTGCTGTGATCCAGGCCTCGCTGGCCAACCATTGAATACCAGTGAGGTTTTGCTGAAGAGCCTCCCAAAAGAGAGCTCTTGCATCTTGCTCTAGAGCAAAGACCAGCACCACATGTGTTCCTGACTCAGGGATCCTCTTTACAATCCTGGACATCTCTGTTTGGTCATGGTTTTTGGGGATTATTTCATAAAAAGAAATACATGCACCTAGTTTGGTCACCTCATCATTAAAAATTTGAGCACCACCACGGCCATAAGCATCATCCCCTGCAAATGTACCTAACCAGCTCCAACCAAAGTGTTGCACCAGCTGTGCCAGAGCATCCACTTGGAAAAAGTCACTGGGCATAGTCCTTAGAAATGCAGGAAACTCTAGTTTATTACTGAGACATGCACAGCTTGAGAAATAGCTTACCTAGGGAGAGGAGAGGACATGAGATCGGAGAGCATAGTATACATGACTGAAAGACACGAATGTACCTCTTAATGCGCATTAAAACTGCACAACTCACTTGTGGAACATGAAAAACCCCGAGAAAGCGTGCAACCACTAGGGATAATGTGGATCCTCCATCACCAATGACAACAGGCACCCTGCCTCGGCACTCTGGTTGTCCTGTGCCCTCTTCATTCCCATTCATAAGGGCAAAGGCTGTGCGGAGCGCGTGGAAAGGGGTACTGCATGAATCATAGATCTGATAACCCAGAGTTAGGTTTGCTAGGAGTCTTTTATCTCTGTTGATCTCCTCTATGGCAAAAATCATTGTCTGCATCCATCTAAAGGTACGGAAATTAAACCTTTTTGGAACAAAGAGCATTAAATTATCAACAAAATTGCTTATTTTATGTTAACATTTCTACAGTAAATAGATATTGCAAAACTGCTCAACAATATACTCAATAAATAAGAGAGAGAATGCCAGTCTGGGAATTCATTAAGATGCAAGGGGAAACAAGAAAACACCATACAATTTCAAAATATTAAGCATAAATACAGAATTGTAATATTTAAGGATAAGACTATGTATTGACTGACCCTGAGCACTGTGTAGAATGTGGCTCTGCAGTAAAAGATGAAGGAGATTCCAGCACAGTATCGTGTAGTGAAAAGAGAGCACCAAGCATGATGTCCCCTTCACTGGTTAGCACAGGCAGGTCTGAGGTGCTGCGGATGAGTCGACAGGTCTGAAGTAACTGTGAAGAGATCCAAGTGCTGAGGAACAAAACTGTCACACAAACATATGCACTACTATATGCCATTCTTTCTCTGTACACTTCACTTCTTGAACCAAATTAAACACGACTTTTAAGCTTCATTGCACACACAATAGGATGCCACTAATATTTACAAATGCATGGACACGCATTCTAGCTCACTCTCGCTAACATAGTTCACACAAGATTCACCTAAGCCCACCTTTATACTGCACTCAGAAGCAACCTCAAAAAAACTTGCATAAACCATACATATTCCCTGAGGGAATGTCTTAGTACATGAACAGAAGCTCACAATTTTGTACTCTCTATATATATAAATGGTTCATTAGTTAACTAGTTAACATTAACAAAGAATGAACAATACTTCTTCAGCATTTGTTAATCTTTTTTAATGTTAATTTCAACATTTACTAATACTTTATTAATATCTTGTTAACATTAGTAAATCCACTGTGAACTAACATGAACAAACAATGAACAGCTGGATTTATATAAACTAATGTTAACAAAGATTAACAAAAACTAACAAATGTATTACTCATGGTTAGTTCATGTTAGTTAATACATTAACTAATGTTTAATAAATGAACCTTATTGTAAAGTGTTACCATTTTAGGTTATATGACTATATATTATGTGTTTTCTGTAAAATTATATTATTATTATTATAAAATTAATTAGGCAAGGCAAGGCAAGTTTATTTATATAGCACATTTCATACACAATGGCAATTCAAAGTGCTTTACATAGAAGAGATTAAAATAATCAAAAGAAATCAGAATAATTAAAACAGTTTAGAATAAAAAATGGTTCAGCCACGGTAAGCATAATATCTAAAAGCAGACTCTGCATGCTTCGAGTGAACCCTTGGTATTTCTAGCTGATGTGATCCTAATGATCTGAGTGATCTGTTGGGTTTATATTCATTGAGCATATCTGCAATATATTGAGGTCCTAACCCATTAAATGATTTATATACCAGAAGTAATACTTCAAAATCAATCCTAAATGTAACTGTCAGCCAGTGTAAAGACCTGAGGACTGGTGTGATGTGTTCATATTTTCTGGTCCTGCTTAAAATCCTGGCAGCATCGTTCTGTATGAGCTGCAACTGTCTTATGGTCTTTTTAGGAAGGCAAGTGAAGAGTCCATTACAGTAATCCACCCTGCTGGTGATGAAAGCATGCACAAGTTTCTCTAAGTCTTGACTGGAAACAAAGCATCTAATTCTTGCAATATTTTTCAGATTATAGTATGCTGATTTATTTATTGCTTTGACATGACTACTGAAACTAAGGTCTGACTCTAGAGACACACCAAGATTCCTGACTTGATTTTTAGTTGTTAGACCCCTAGCGTCAAGAGTAGTAATATAGGCTACCTTGTGTCAAAATGATTTATTGCTTTTTGATTGACAAGGGGCGGGGCTGACCTTTGACCTTCCGGATTCCATCTTTGAAGTAGTCATAAACCCTTGACCTTTGGCATTCCATGTCTGGGATATCGATTAACCTTTGACCTAACGATCAATCAAATGGACAGGTGGTTGTTGACCCGTTGACCTTTCTAATCCAAAAAACATGTGTGGGAACATCTGTGGTTTTGACCCGTTGACCTTTTCTAATCCAAAAAACATGTGTGTGAACATCTGTGGTTTTGACCACTTAGTGACCCCAGGAAGCGATCGATCAAAATGGACAGTTTGACCCTGGTTGACTCTTTGACAGTTGTCTGGTTTTATCATTTATGTAGCCGTGATACCCCCTCCCATACCAGAAACCCGTCTATAAAATGGGTGGTCTCTGTTCTACAGAATTCACAGAGGGAAACATGAGTTACATGAGTATGGACGCTTTATCCTCACCTAAAACCCCCGAGATCGATCTGAGTAGCATGATGTTGCCGGAATAATTTTCTAATAATCCCCGTATCACAATATGGTCTGTAAAATAAAAAAGCAGCTTACTTGAGTGGTGAAAATCCCCTCTGATTCTCTCAGAGGCCTTCGGCCTCTGTGACAGTCGGGATGTGAGGCTATGAGATGGCCGAACATTCCTTCAGCCAGAGAAAAATCTTACACGAGCTAAAAAATGAAACCGTGTTTTATAGGTTATAAGGAAAAAAAACATTTAGATTTAAATGTGAAAAAGCATCTTACTTTATCAGTCATTTCCATCAAGATGTGAAAAACCTCTCTCCCTCTCATCAACAGCAGCATCTGTATGTGTTTGTTCAGCTGAGAGAGACAACACCCACAGCATCCCTTGCAGCCACAGTGCCAATAAAAGATCGACCTTTTTCTCACTAACTAAAGTTAAAACCATGGTTCATTTAAAAAGATTATCAATAAAATGCTTTATCATTCATTGTAAAATAATACAACATGTTTTATATATTATAAGTTGACTAACAGTCTATCAAAAATAAAACCATCTTACTTTTCCAACTGGTTGACAAAGTAGTTCCTAAGATGTCCATACAATACATGGATGGTTTACAAAAGATGTAAAAGATGAGTTTAAAGTTGTGAAGATCTCCCGGTGATTCTCTCTCCCCCATGCATGGCCGGAGTGGTCAGGGGCGCAACTACCCAGTTTCAGAGGGGTGTGCAGCAACAATTTTAGCGCCCCCATCCCCCCCCCCCCTCAAAAAAAAATAAAAAATAAATAAATAAATAAATAAAATAAATGTAATGTAAGTGTGCTGTGTAATAAGTGAGTAGGAAGAAATGAGAGCTAACAGAAAAAAATAAGTGCAAAATTGTCGTTTATTAACACAATTAAACTATAGCTACTCCACCTTGATGAACCCCCCTAAGAAAACTATAAGCTCCATTGTAACAGCAATACCAGTGTTTCTCACAGGATTTTAGGAAAAAAACTGTGGTAGGTGGACCTCTGTTTCTCTCGGGGGGTTCGGGGGAAAATTTACTCCCCCGTAAGAAAATTTTGTGTTCTGTAATGTTAAATTCAGCAGTCTGGTGCACTTTGAGAGTTCAAAATTAAAAGCTCCAACCCATATTCAGGGTGCAAATTAAACAAAGAAAAATTTGAACCTCTTTTAGTTAGTGTCTGTCTACATTACACTACTACATAATAATAGTTATAATATTAATCCCATGATAGTAGGCTAATTGCCATAAAGGCTATTGTAAAACAAATGCACAGAAAAATAAAGGAAACTTTCATAATTAGTTTTGCACTAATTTCTATACTTGAAAGATACTTGCGCATAATGACGTTTCATGGGCCAGTGTGTCAGAAAAAAAAAACTAAAGCTGACTTTTTTTGACCAATGCATTACACCAGCACAGCGCCGCCAATTAAGCAAAAAACAAAACAAAAACAAACAAACAAACAAATGGGCCGCCGATGTATGAGTTTTGTGGGCCGTTAAGACAAATAAATTAAAAAAGGATGAAATGTATTGGCTGAAAAGCACGTCGGCCCAGCGGGAATCTCCCGGTAGTCCCGATGGCCACCGAGATATAGATAGCCTATGCCTGGATGTCACATTTTAAATCCTACTACCTGTTGGCTTTCAGCAATGCATGCAGTTATTTAGCTGCTGTCGCATCAATTGACATGCCATCTCCTTTTCTCTCTTTCTTTTTCTATTTTTAGCACCACAGCATTTTGTTTTATCCATCTTTTTCGACGACAACTAACTACTCGTCTGCTCGCTCAGCGCTCACGGCGCCCCCGCCCGCTCGCGATATTACCCGCCCCCTTCTCCATGAGGGCGCCTACTCTAGCCTGGCTGTTCTCTAAAATTTTATATAACATTGAAGGAATGCAGAAATGATTTAGAAACGCACAACGGCAGCTACATATAGAAATACAATATAGCCTATATAATTTTTTTTTTTTTTTTACCTTTGGCGCCCCCCATTGTGCTGCGCCCCTATGCGCCGCATATAGCGCATACCCACTTTTTGCGCCACTGGGAGTGGTGTGTGTCTGTGTGTGTGTGTGTGTGTGCGTGTGTGTGTGTGTGTGTGCGTCTCTGTGTAAGAAATGGCAATAAATTACTTTAGACCTCTCTGAATCCTCTAAGTCAGAGGGACCCTCTCACACTTATTTTATGTGTGTGTGTGTTACATTATACCGCTTCAAGTGAGGACAATATACTATATATCATATATTTCACACTAAACATTATGCTCTATATAAATAAAAATAGTTATACATTTACATCTAGTATTTTACAAAAATATTATTATTTAACACTAACTAGAGTTGAAAAACATTGATCTTCAAAAGTATATAAATGAAATGGTAATAAATGTGCAATTATTAATTTACAAATATAACATTTCACACTAACTGAGTTGAAGTTGAACAACTTTGTTCATTTAAAAGTATATAAATTAAATGCTTTTATCGTTCATTTCAAAAGTAAATGTCTTACTAAGATCTCCCACAAGTGATCCTCTCTCCCCCTCGCTTTACAGACATGCATTGTGTGTGTCGGTTCAGTGGAGACATTCCATATGTTTGATTAGTGTTAATCTTACTTCATAGTATAATCATTAAAAGTTTAAATGATATCTTTTAAAAATACCAGATGTTTTTAAAATAAATTAAATTAATTCATAAAACAAATATGCTACATCAGCGGTCTATGGAAAAACTTGACTATATTTTTATTTATCAGGGTGCATGTAAAAAATTCGATCTCTCACAAGTCATCTCACACATTGTGTGAAATGTTCAATAATTCCCTAAGTAGTATCTCTGCGAAAATCACCACATAGGCCTATCTTTAGTGCGAGAGCACTAATGAAGACATTTTAGAAACTGTGATGCCAAAGGCCGGCCATAGCTTCAGGATAGTGACAGAGCAGATGAGTCTCTGTGCATCGCCTTTCCAGAGTCAAACTAGAATTATTTCGAATCATAATCGTAAAAGTTTCGAGCTTTTAAAATAAAAAGATTGTTTAAATTAAATCTTTATAGTTTTAATACATTCATATCTTCTATTTATTTTAAAGATTACTCTAATGATTTGTTTAATACCGACCTAAAAGTATTTTTATTAATATAGCCATAACAATTTTTGCACTGTAACTGCGTATTCTATACCGTACACCTAAAACACTACCGTCAGAGAAAACTGGATTTTACATTTTCAATAAATAAATAAATAATTGGGTAACACTTTATAATAACTGCACGCTATTAATCATTAGTTAAGCATTAGTAAACAGTTAATTCTTCATTTATAAAGCATTATTAAACATTAATAAGCAGTTTATAAATACAGCTATGAATGCTTTCTTCTTGATTTATAAGCATATCTATAAAGCATTTAATAATTGAATTTTCATACTTTATTAATGATCAATTTACTATTTACAAATGAAGTATTTCATCATTTACAAACCAGTTATTTAGGTGTTGTCAGTGGTTCATAAGATCACTTATAAAGTGCAAGTAAATGATTAATAAACTATTTAAGTGTACATTCATTCATCTTATTATTCAGACATATACACTCTAAGAAATAAATCCGTAAAATAACAGAAAAAGTACTGGCAGCTCATTACCCGGACTTTGTCCTGTTAAAAAACGGACATTTTCTGTTAATTCACAGTGTGCCCACTTTAAATAAAACAGAAATTTTCTGTTATTTAATGGTATATCTATAGTAAAAAGACTGGACACTTTCTGTAATTTAATGATATATTTATTGTAAAAAAACAGGACACTTTCTGTTATTTAATGGCATAACTACAGTAAAAAACGCAAATATTAAATAAATCCGTAAAATAACAGAAAAAGTACTGGCAGCTCATTACCCGGACTTTGTTCCGTAATTAAAAGATGAAATATTTCTGTTAATTTATGGTTTTCCTACAGTAAAAATAAAACAGTTGAATTTATGCAATATACCTACAGCAAATAGAAATTTTACTTTACTGTTAGTTAACAGTGTAATGATAACTCTTGTTGAAAACATTTCAAACAAATCTTCTGTGATTAAAAAAATATATTTATTTACTTATAGATCTATAACAATTCGGGGTGAGTAAATTATCAGCAAGTTTTTTTTAAAAGTGAACTACTCCTTTAAGGGTTGTTTTAAGGACATTTGTGTATTCCCGTAGACAGCCACTCTGAAGCGGTCAAAGGCGATTCTAAAAGAGTCAAAAAATCTAGAAAGGACCCAATTTCAAAATTTCTGTGTCCACCACTCTAGTTTAACCAAAAAACAAACAAACTATAAAATAGACTCAAAGTGCTAAATACCGGGATTATCCTTTAAGGGAATAACAGTTTAATATGAAAGAATGGTGGAGAGTTCCTTTAACATTACAACAATTGCATCCACTGAATTAATTATTGTAAAATGTGCGAGGGGAAAAGGTTTTTCAGAGGAACATGGATAGGGGGGCTTCTCTTGTCTTCAGGTAAGATGAAGTCTGTAAAAGAAAGACAAAACAGTATTACTGACATACAGAATGTATCCAAAACAAAGAAAACCAAGATTCTAGGTGGGGAAAACTCATCACTCACCAAGAAATGTGTAGTAAATTCTTCAGATCCACCGGACTGATAGAACAAGGTCATGGTAGGATTGCAGACTCGGGTTTAGCCACCAAAAACTACAGAGGGGAGAGAACAGTGTGTGGCCTATCCATCATGATGTTTCAAATTTAGTTTACTGTGTACTGTAATGGTTCCGTCTACGGCTAACCGTACCTGTTTGTCTCCCGGCGAGAGGCTTGCATTAGTTGTCCCTCCAGGTTGTCGTTGCTCTCTTTGTGCCGACATAGGTAGATCCCGTCTATCCCGTAGATAGAGTGATCATTGCATGTAAACAGGATGTACATTTTTAGTTTTCACATGACATCACAAATCACAAAAAACACTCCCTAGATGGAAAAATAGACCACCAAGCGATATACTGTTATTATGAGTTTATTGCTTTGCGTTGTCAATATGCTGGACGGTAGGTAGTTGTGCCTTCTGATGCACTAATCGAGGAAAAGACAAGCCTGGGCTGTGTTAGCCGAGGGATTCCCCACATGGTAAACCTAGACATTACCACAATCGAGTGGCGATGGGAACCTGTCAGTTTTTAACGGTAGAAATGCGGCAGTGTCTGCTATAACATGGATTGGAAGTGCCTAATACTTGCATTTTGTGTTCATATCTATCTTTTTATTACGTTGAGTGGTGATCCAAATAAATTTTGCAGCATCTCTACAGGGGAGTCGCACTGTGAATCGCTATGTTGGTCTGTTGTTTTGCCCTCCAGGTCACCGTGCATGTCACGTGACTAAAAAAACTATGATATTTGTTTTTTCAGTCATGTGACATGCACAACACTAACAAAAAACACTTGACTGTTAAAAGAAATGGAGAGGAACAGGGTAAGAAAGAGGTAGGGACAAAAAAAAGAACTTACAGTTTGTGGACTAGGAGAGCATGAAGATCGCTGAAATATAGATCCATTTCCTTGGAGGTGAGGGGTTGGCCTTCTAAAGCTCTTGGTGTCATCTTGGAGATGTGACGCAAAATGGAGGGCTTGTTCGGACAGTTTGGTCATAGATATTTTGTTCTCTAAGCTGAAATAAATACTCTTACATAAAAAAGGTAAATATTAATTCTTTTTTTTTATTATTTATTGATATCCAATATTTTGTAAAACCACTGTTGTATTAAACAGTAAAGTAATGTAGAAAAAAACAACATTGGGACATCTCTGTTTTAGATTGTCATTAGTTTGGGTCAAAATGACCAATTTCACAGTTTAACATAACTAAAACACACTGAAACATTATCTTTTAAGAATGACACTTGATGTCATACTTGACATATAAAGATAAAAAAGTTGACCCTGTTGTCCTGAATAGCAATGCAACAAACCTCAACCAAATTCATGAACAGAGTGCAGATTAAGCTAGAAAATTTGATACATATATTCTACAGCTATTGTGCGAAAAATAACCAATATACTGTCAAAAAAACATTTTTGTACCATAACAGTTTGTTGCATCACAGTAAATGGAATGAACTATTAAGAACAAAACACAAATTAACATAGTTTTGAGTGCCTAGTTGGTGATGGGGGTACAATAGCGTAACTGTTGAAAGAGACACACACACACACACACATCTCTCCAGTCCAGATGGTACTATGGCTGTAAAACAAAAACAAAATATTATTATTAATTTGGAAAAGGATCTTGCTGAGGTCCTTTAAATAGCATTGAACATGTATCCCAAGAAATGAACTTACATTTACATTTAATTTATTCATTTAGCTAAAGATTTTATCCAAAGTGAAATACAATTGCTATATCAGGCATGTGATTGGCTAAGGACAAAAAAAACAACAACAACAAAAAAAAACAGGAAAATCTACTGAAAAAAAACTAACAAAAAAAAACCTAGTAGACAGGAGTGGCCATTTCTTTGGAGTTCTGCAAAATGTACAAGATTTCAACAGAAATAGACAGTATGAGTAACAAAGGAGTTTGTGTAATGACCTTTAAATCTTCCAAGGATTCTGGAAGTCACTCAGGTCCGACAGGAATCGAAGCAGTTTTGGTGGAATGTTGTACTGTTTTGTGCCCTTTTTTTTCTGCTTTAGACCCCCGTTCCGGATTGATACCCAGCAGGCTCCTGTGGCAACACAAATGTATCATGTCACTTTGGTATGGCATTGCAAAACTAAGAATACTATAAAATTGACAAAGAAGTTTGTCAAAACATACCTCTGGATAAATTCCAGAGTCAGGGCTGCTTCCTTGGGGTACATAATATTCAGCACATAGAAGAGGCTGAACACATAGCTGACAGCAACCAGAGAACAACTGATGATGTGGTTTACTGTGACTTTATCGACTGATATTTTGTATCTCCCTTCATCTTCATTGTTTTAGATTGTCATTAGTTTGGGTCAAAAAGACCAATTTCACAGTTTAACATAACTGAAACACTGAAACATTTTCTTTTAAGAATGACACTTGACGTCATACTTGACATATAAAGATAAAAAAGTTGACCCTGTTGTCCTGAATAGCAATGCAACAAACCTCAACCAAATTCATGAACAGAGTGCAGATTAAGCTAGAAAATTTGATACATATATTCTACAGCTATTGTGCGAAAAATAACCAATATACTGTCAAAAAAACATTTTTGTACCATAACAGTTTGTTGCATCACAGTAAATGGAATGAACTATTAAGAACAAAACACAAATTAACATAGTTTTGAGTGCCTAGTTGGTGATGGGGGTACAATAGCGTAACTGTTGAAAGAGACACACACACACACACATCTCTCCAGTCCAGATGGTACTATGGCTGTAAAACAAAAACAAAATTTCTATTATTAATTTGGAAAAGGATCTTGCTGAGGTCCTTTAAATAGCATTGAACATGTATCCCAAGAAATGAACTTACATTTACATTTAATTTATTCATTTAGCTAAAGATTTTATCCAAAGTGAAATACAATTGCTATATCAGGCGGACAAAAAAAAAAAAAAAAAAAACCAGGAAAATCTACTGAAAAAAAAAAAACCTAGTAGACAGGAGTGGCCATTTCTTTGGAGTTCTGCAAAATGTACAAGATTTCAACAGAAATAGACAGTATGAGTAACAAATGAGTTTGTGTAATGACCTTTAAATCTTCCAAGGATTCTGGAAGTCACTCAGGTCCGAAAGGAATCGAAGCAGTTTTGGTGGAATGTTGTACTGTTTTGTGCCCTTTTTTTCTGCTTTAGACCCCCGTTCCGGATTGATACCCAGCAGGCTCCTGTGGCAACACAAATGTATCATGTCACTTTGGTATGGCATTGCAAAACTAAGAATACTATAAAATTGACAAAGAAGTTTGTCAAAACATACCTCTGGATAAATTCCAGAGTCAGGGCTGCTTCCTTGGGGTACATAATATTCAGCACATAGAAGAGGCTGAACACATAGCTGACAGCAACCAGAGAACAACTGATGATGTGGTTTACTGTGACTTCATCGACTGATATTTTGTATCTTCCTTCATCTTCAAAAAATGTAAATAACAACAATATTTTTTTTAATCAATGAAACAAATATACAGCACTTCCAAATATTTAAGAGCAGACATGAATATCCTTACCCATAACTATGATGCATGGGGAGCTTGGCAGTTCTGCTAAGGCATCCTGTGAGAGGTAAAGACACAGACATATCTGAATCACAAAATTGTGTTTTTCGGTGGAATTTCCCAGCAATGCTCAGGACTCTGTATTGGCAGTGGTAACATTGGTATCAGTGGGTCACTACCTTCGCTTCCTACTAAACAAAATACCAATAAAATTATTAGTTATTTATGCTGTGTGCTTACTTCTTCACTTAGTAGCAACACCTTTGGCTCCTCCCCAAAGTACTTCATCAGGCCCTGAAGGAGATTTACTGGGTCTTTAGTAACTCCTTTGATTCCCTTGCTCAAAAGAAACTCACTGATGGTCTTGCCCTTCTCCTCAATTTGGTTGAGAAGTTTGGTTTGAACAGAAAATCCAAGAAGTTTCTCTGCATGGTCAAGCAGACAGGTAGTTTCAAACAGGTATGGCCATTCTTCCATCAGTTTGATTACATTTTCTTCGGTATTCAGAGTGATGCGCTGGGCGCCATGTGTTTCAGACATTAATTTCTTGATGTCGCTCTCAGGTAAAACATTTTTTTTAAAGGCGTCTTGCAGCTTTTTCTTTTTTTCCTCATAGTTGTCAAAGTCATTTGGGCACTCGGGTTGCCACTGACGACAGCCGTAACGGTCAGATGATTTGAATTTCTTCTTTGGTCTCGGTTCATTGGATGTGTTGAAAGCATATTGTCGCCTGATGTTCTCAACTCGATTCTCCATTTGCATAACAAGGGAGGCAAAACCTTGACCCACTACATTTGTGCCACATTTATCCAAAAATGAATCAGGGTATCTCTCAATCAGCTGTTGTGCAACTTTTTTCAGCTTGCTTCTGCCTGGTCTGGTGTCCTTAGCCATCAAGTCTTCCATGATGATCCTGATCATGTGTCTTCTATCTTTTGGTAGTGGCCTCTTCTTCTCCTTCAATGCATTCATCATTGCAACTGGAAACTTCTGCCATGGGATTTGAAACATCTCTGGATCCGTCACAGTTGGCATCTCCGTTAGATCCTTGGTTACACTACAAAGGTTGGGAGTACAGGACACATCCAAGGTGCTCTGAGACACTAGGGGGGAAAAAACTATTAAAGTGAACTGCAAAAGCTAAACAACAGCAAACAAAATGTCACTTGTGAGTAGGGCTGGGCGATTAATTAAATTTTAAAATTGTATTTTCAATCATGATTATGAGTACAAGATAATTGTAGCTTTTTTTGTTTTCAGTTAAATTATATTTAAATATCTAGGAAATCCACTGTTAAAAAAGTTAAATGAATTTATGTTTAAAATTAGTGTATTGTTCAATGTCTGATCAAGCCCATAACATACCAGAGGAAAATGCACTGATCAGCCGCCTGGACTGTATAGTTGTTAAAACCCCATCCAAGTCTGCTGCAGTTAATATTGTGCAGTCTTCCAGATTTGTGACTCCAAGATCTGTCAACTTTCTGATAGTAGCTTCCAGTTGCTCTTCTTTCAGTGAATGCAGTGTGCTTCTGATCATCTCCCTTACAGACTCCATGGTGGACTGTGTTTAAGAGCAACCAGCAGTCTGCCACCTCTGCTATAGTGTCTGAGTGGGAAGTAATCAAGAAGCTCATCAAGTCCTTTGCAAATAAAAATACCGCCCTCACTTTCTACTTCAAAAACACCATGACCTGGATCAAGACATGCTTTTTTTCTGTCTAAGCACAAGCAGTACAGTCTTTTGTTCTTTTACTACAATGCATGCAATCAGCCCAAGAATTAACTCCCCAGTATTACAGCTCAAAATGACAAGCATGTCATTTACATAGCATGTGCCTCGTACAGTAATTCTGTCTGTCACTACCGCATTTGATGATGTGACGTTGAATGCTTTCAATGCACCTTTAATCTGACTGTCATACAACTCTGGGCAAAACCTTACACAGTCAGACATGATCAACTCAGGGGAGAACACATTTCCTCTGCTTTGGAAGGCCTGCAACAACTGATGTCTCTCTGAAAGGGATTTTGTGATGTTTCGAAAGTTCTTACTTTCTCGAATACACCTCTTAAAATAGCTGTGCTTGCTTTCAAATCTCATTGTCCAAGTGTGAATTAATGGTCCAAACTGTAATGTGAGATCTGCATAATGCAAAAGGTAATGATGTTTCGGTCTGAGCTTTTTAAGTGGGAAGAGGAGATGCCTTGTTTCAATGTAGTCTTCAATGAGGACCTTCATGTAGGCAGCCTGTGATTCTGACAGTGCGGGAGCACATACAAGCTCAACCACCTGCCTAAGTAGCAGTATTAGTTGCCAAACTTCATCCGTAATGTCTCTGATTCTGTCATGTAACAGTATTGGCAAAAACCGAAGAAGCCACCAATTCTGAGCAGCATGCCCCCCAAGTTTTGTCCCATTGTTAGGCAGAACATTAGCCTTGTTCTGACTCTCTCCAGTAAAATGAACGATTCTGCTGTTAAGTACATCATAACTGAACCACTTCCTTGTTTTTACAAGAAACTGCAAGTACATGGCCAAATCATAGTCAACTATGCCCTCAAATAAATCATGGGCAAGGCAGGGTGGGAGTCCCGGTGCACAAACATGGAAATGTGTCAGTTTGTTCAAAACACTGTTCGACTTGATGCCATTGTGTATTTGCATATCTGGGTTATTTTCCAAGGTTATTTTTCCTCCAAGGTAGTGAGACCCAAGATTGTCTCAAATGACACATGCAAGACTGCCTCTGAAGGTTTTCCCTTCAATGCAAATGCCTGTTGACTCTAGGTCACGCAGGTCTGACATTAAAATATCAAAAACTTTCTCGGGTCCAAACAGCTTACAGTTCTTCTCCAGACAAAGAAGTACAAGCTGTATTGAGTCAACAGTGGATCGGTTGTGGGCATAGACATTACCCAAAGTGTAATACACAGCGAGAACTTTGTGTTTTTGCCTAGCGGACCCTAGAGGGTTAGCAACTTCAAAAGCATCTTGAAACAACATGATCCGAAGAGCATGTGGATCAGATGCAAACAATTCATTGGATTTAGAGACACAGCCATCTCCAATATCACATAGCTTGCTTTTGTCGGCATGAATAGGATTTAGAATTTGATGCTGTACACTTTCATTGCTCAAGACAGCTTTTAAGCTTTCTAAAATGGGAACATAATGAAAGTGTCTTGTCTTGCCTTTGTCATCATGACCTAATGTTATTTGTACTGGTTCTACCAAGTTAAATGCTTCCTTGTAATACTGAAGTCTTTTGTGGTGTGTGGTTAAGGTGCCACTACTTGCATGTAGTGTGGCCTGCATAGGACTTTGCTCATACACACGTTTCCCTAGATTTTGTAATGCCTCATCAGGCACACCATATTCCTTGAGACCCTCTGAAAACAAATCCATAGTAAACTCATGCTGCATATCCTGAAGTACTCTCATTTCACTTGCAATCTCTGAGACTGTAGATGCAGGGACAAGATACTTTGCTTGTAAGCCAAGGAAAAAAAGAGCCATGTTTTCAGTGTATCCATCCTGGGTTGACCCTGGGAGAGGATCTCTATCTTGCTGCACTGTTTGAACTTCACTATCAATGTCTGGCTGCCCATTATCAGAATCAGCAGGTGCATATTCTGTTGTCTCACTGATATGACTTTGAGCAATATGTGTAACATCACACTGCTTGTG